GGTAGTGATCAGGGGTTACTCCTAGCTCTGCACTTAGGATTTACTCCTGGTTGAGCACAGGGGACCATATGGGACGCTGGGGATCGAACCTGGGTTGGTCACATGCAAGGGAAGTGCCCTACCTGCTACAATATTGCTCAGGCCCTGGCTCCAGTTTTTTAAGCCATCTCACTTGCCCACCCAATACATACTTTAAAACAACAATAATTTTCAGAATTACCAGCCAACTCATGTAACATAACTAGCTAAATACCAGTAGGTTCGTGCTTTTTAAGTGGGTCTCTTGAACCGCATAAGCAAAGAAAGTGCTTTCCACAAGCCAAAGGGATGTTGGCTATTCTTTACAGGAAGCTAAATGAGTCTCTTTGGATTTCTTCTTGTAACAAACACCACTAGAATTATGACTTTGGAATCATTTCCATTGCAAATCCCCTCTTTCCACACCCCTTTAGAAGGCAGCTGTAATATCTGGCTTCTAACCAAGGCCTGCTATACCAACAATTCCCTAAATTTTATTTATATTTCATGTGCAGTGTGTTCGAACTCTTGCTTTCCCAGGTGCCAGATGCTGGTTTGGATACACTCCAGTGGAAAGTGCTTGCCTGTAAAATAATGAAAGTAAAATGCCGAACAGACCACCTCTTTATATCAGACTTGTACCTAGCATGCCAAACTTAAGTACTTTAATAATGACTTCATTTTTTTCCCAAATGTGCAATTCCCTAAATCCCTTCTGCACCTACCTCCACACCAAGTACTTTGGAGTTGTATAGAGTGTAAATGATTACAGTCCTTTTTCATTTGTTCAGTGTTTACTCCAAAATGTTCCAGTGTAACAATCTGTTACAAGGAGTCAGAGAGATAGTAAGGCTGGTAAAGCCCTTGTCTTTTGGGTGGGTGGGTGGGGAAATGGTGATTGGGACAAACCTGACAATATTCAGGGGTTTCTCCTGGCTCTGCACTCAGGGATCACTCCTGGCAGTGCTCAGGGAACCGTATGGGATGCCGGGGATCAAACCCAGGTCGGTTGAGTACAATGCAAGCTTCCTACACACTGTACTATGACTCTGGTCAGGGCACTTGTCTAGCCTGGTTCAGTACCCCAGCGCCACTTATGGTCCCCCAAGCCCCATCAGGAGTGATCCCTGAGCAGTCAGTAATAATCCCTGAGCATGATGGAATGTGCCCCCCAAAAAACAAAACCAGTCTGTTTCACAGGCCTTAATGGTGTCTATCAGTATATCAAAACATAATTTGGATAAGAAAATGTTTTGTGTATGCATAATTTAAACATGAAATCTTGGGGCTGGAGCGATAGCACAGAGAGTAGGGCATTTGCTTCACACGCAGCCTACCTGGGTTCAATTCCTCTGTCCCTCTTGGAGAACCCAGCAAGCTACCGAGAGTATCTCGCCTGCACAGCGGAGCCTGGCAAGCTACCCGTGGTGTATTTGATATGCCAAAAACAGTAACAACAAGTCTCACCAATGGAGATGTTTCTGGTGCCTGCTCGAGCAAATTGATGAACAATGGGAGGACAGTGCTACAGTGTAGTGCTATGCATGCATGTCACTGTCCCCCGTTGTTCATCGATTTGCTTGAGCGGGCCCAGTAACGTCTCCATCGTGAGACTTGTTACTGTGTTTGGCATATCAAATACACCACGGGTAGCTTGCCAGGCTTTGCCATGCAGGCGAGATACTCTTGGTAGCTTGCCGGACTCTCCGAGAGGGGCGGAGCAATCGAACCCAGCTCAGCCGGACTGGCTGCATGCAAGGCAAATGCCCTACCGCTGTGCTATCGCTCCAGCCCATGCATGCATGTATGTATATATTTATTTAACAGTTCTGGGGATCGAATCTAGGTCTCATGTAGGTAAGACAGGCGTTTTATTATCCCTGTTACAAGGAGTCAGAGAGATAGTAAGGCTGGTAAGCCCTTATCTTTTATGGGGATTGAGGGGGATGGTGGTTGGGGCGCACCTGGTGATATTCAGGGGTTACTCCTGGCTCTGCACTCAGGAATCCCAGTCCAAGAAGATACCACTGCACCGTAGCACTGTCCTCCCGCTGTTCATCGATTTGCTTGAGCAGGCTCCAGTAACATCTCCATTGTGAGACTTGTTACTGATTTGGGCACATTGCATACATCATGGGTAGCTTGCCAGGCTTTGCCGTGCGAGCAGGATACTCTCAGTAGCTTGCCGTGCTCTCCAAGAGGGGCAGAGGAATTGAACCCGGGTCGACTGTGTGTAAAGCAAATGCCCTACCCACTGTGCTATCACTCCAGCCCCCAAGAAGATAGAGTTGTAGCACTGTAGTACTGTCCTCCCGTTGTTCATCGATTTGCTCGAGTGGGCACCAGTAATGTCTCCATTGTGAGACTTGTTGTTACTGTTTTTGGCATATTGAATACGCCACGGGGAGCTTGCCAGGCTCTGCTGTGCGGGCAGGATACTCTCGGTAGCTTACTGGCTTCTCCGGGAGGGACGGAGGAATAAAACCCGGGTCAGCCACATGCAAGGCAAACACCCTACATGCTGTGCTCTCACTCCAGTCTCCAAGAAGATAAAAATATTTAAATCTCATTTTCATAGTTTTATGATTATTTTAAAATTGTTGTTGTTTTGGGGCCATACTCCATGGTGCTCAGGGCTTACTCCTGGCTCTGTGCTCAGAGATCACTATTGGTGGGAGCTTAGGGAACCAGATGGGTGTTGGAGATTAAACCCTGGCACAGCTGTATGCAAAGCAAGTGCCCTATCCTCTGTACTATCTCTCCAGCCCATATCAATTGGTATCTTTTTAGGAGCCCAAATGCAGTGCCAGGCATGCTAACCTGGGTTTGCTGCATACAAGGCAAGCACCTGATCTCCTGTATTATCTTTCAGTTCCTCCACTCCAGCCCCTTCAGCCTATATTGTTTTTTTAAATTTTTTTTTAATTTAATTTTTATTTTTAAAATTTTTTTTTTGCTTTTTGGGTCACACCCGGCGATGCACAGGGGTTACTCCTGGTTCATGCACTCAGGAATTACTCCTGGCTGTGCTCAGGGGACCATATGGGATGCTGGGAATCGAACCTGGGTCGGGCTGCGTGCAAGGCAAACGCCCTACCTGCTGTACTATCACTCCAGCCCCATATATATATAATTTTTTTTAAAGGACACTGTTGGCTGTGTTCAGGGGACCAAATGTTTCTGGGCATCAAACTCAGGATCTCACACACTTTCCCACCTGAGTCACATTTCCTGGTCCTCATTTTCAGGATTTTAAAGCATATTGATAATTCAATGTTTGCTATAGTAATAGCTCATTTGGGGGGTTGTTGCAACCTGATTGTGCTCAGGGCTTACTTCTAGTCCTACATTCAGGGATCATTCCTAGTGGTGGTTGGGAGGGCCACGGGGGATGTCTGAGATCAACCCGAGCCGGCTGGTGCGAAGCCAGAGCCCTTTCCTTTGCATTACAGATCTAGCCCCCAGTGTTATTAGCGTTAAGACACTTTCATGAAAGTGATACTTCCCTTGTATTGTAGGAAAATATTTTCCCCAAAGAGGCACAGAAATTTGGCATGGCACTAAAAATTAAATTTAGAATTTTCCTTTGGGCCCCAAACCCAAAGATTCAACTTGTGTAATGAGCAGCAGTATTGGTAGATTGAAGAAATTGGAGAAAATTCTTGGATAGTTCCAATTCACTTGTGGTTTCCACCTCCTTGCTTTCACCTGTTTACGTAGAAACAGTTCACAGAGCTGAAAACCAGTACGATTTCTTGTTCTTGCCCTGACAAATTGAGAATCTTTGGCATGAAAATGCATGTTTATGCCCTAAGTTTGCGGTTATATTCTGAGTTTTCAGTGAACCCCTGTAAAGTGTGCTGTGATCTTTGTATTTGGAAAGCAGCTATAAAATAACAAAAATATTCTGCTTGGCTGCCAATATCTTTTTCCCTTATCGGGCGTTGTAGAGTCGCATTTCCTTTTTCACTCTGTCCATTAGGTGGCGATAGATGCCCAAGAAACCGCACAGAGGGTGGGTAAGAGGAATTCCGTTGCTCGCCCAGGTGACTGAGCAGACGGACACACAACTGAAGGCCCTCTGTGGCGGGGTGGACATGGCACACATTTTAATTTTTTCCTGTGTGTACGTGTGCGTGTTTGTGGCTGGAATACTTGCCACAGACTGCCTGTTTAACTCAAGTTTTCTCTAAGCACAGCACGGCATCCTGCCAGCTTGGGGGAAAAAATTCCCTAGAATTTTCCTCAACTCTCAGCAGGCTTGATGGAAGCGATGGAAGCGGTTCAGGATCGCAGCAGGCATTGATTTAGAGATGCTGGGGCACGTGGGCCGCGTTTGAAGAGGGGGAAGAAGACCACTCGCGGGCGGGAACAGCCTGCGCCCAGGGTGTGCCCGACGCCCCGATGAGGAGTTGGACAAAGAAACAGAAGCGGGGAGCATCCTCCTGCGGGGTCCACTCAGAGCAGAGAGCACGGAACACACGCAGGAGCGTGGCCAGGGTGGACGGGGGCGCGGTGGTGCGGAAACCTGCTAAGTTCTGTCCATGCAGCGCGAGATGTCAGAGGGGTACGGGGTGGATGGAAGGGCTGGTGTAAGGAGCGCGGGGCCAGCGCGGGCACAAGGCAGGGAACTAGGGGGGTTGGAGAAGTCCAGGGAGAATTTCAGGATTCGGGGAGCGGGGAGGAGATGGAGAGAGGGTCGAGGCGACGCCAGCCTCGGAAAGGTCCTGTCCCCTTTGCCCCCACCGAGACGCCTCCTCTGCTCACTCTCGCCAGAGCAGCGGCGCACTCCTGGCCGGCTTCCTAGTCGGGACTGTTGTCCCCGGCGCGCGGGGGCCAGGCAGGCGCCCGCAGCAGCGGCCGCGGACAGTGCGGCGGGCGGGACGCGCGGGGACCCGGAGCGCGGGAGGGGCGTGGCCAGGCGCGGGGGCGTGGCGGGGGCGTGTCCCGGGGCGGGGCTCCCGGTCGTCCGCGCCCGCCGCCGCCGCCGCTCGCGCCAGCCGCACGGACCAGGCTGCGGGGTCGCCAACGCCTGCGCGCCCGCGTGCCGGGGCTGCGGTGGGCCAGGATGTCGGGCTTCCTGGAGGAGCTGCTCGGCGAGAAGCTGGTGACGGGCGGCGGCGAGGAGGTGGACGTGCACTCGCTGAGCTCCCGCGGCATCTCGCTGCTCGGGCTCTACTTCGGCTGCAGCCTGAGCGCCCCCTGCGCGCAGCTCAGCGCCAGCCTGGCCGCCTTCTACGGCCGCCTGCGGGGGGACGCGGCGGCGGCGGCGGCGGCGGGGCCGGGGGCCGGGGCCGGGCCGGGGCCGGGGCCGGGGGCCGGGGCCGCCGCCGAGCCCGAGCCGCGCCGCCGCCTGGAGATCGTCTTCGTGTCCTCGGACCAGGACCAGCGGCAGTGGCAGGACTTCGTGCGGGACATGCCGTGGCTGGCGCTGCCCTACAAGGAGAAGCACAGGAAGGTGAGCGGCGCGGGCCTGGCGGGCGCCCCGGGCCCGGGAGCCGGGGCCGCCCCTCGCGCTCGGCTCCCACCCTCCACCCTCTGGCCCGTGTGCCTTCGCGCCCGTGCCTCGGTGGCCCCTGCCGCCCGCCGCCCCCTCTCCTAGGACCCCGCGGGGCAGGCCTACGTCCCGGCGCCCGCGGTGGAAGTTTGACACCCCGAGGACCTCCCCCCCACCCCAGGTCCCAGCTGGCATCCCGAGGAGGGGACAGTCCCGGCCTCACTTGTTGGGACTCACTGGGGTGGGGAGAGGCGGGGGGGGGCGCGCGTGGGGTCCGGGCTCCGTGACACCCCCACCCCCACTCTACTCTAGAGGCGCGGGGGCGGGGTCCTTCCTTCCTGGCTCCCCCAGACTCTGCAGATACCTGTGAGGGGTGCGGGAGCGCGCGAGCCCCCTACCCATAATGCCCAGACCAGGAAGTTTCCTTTCTTCCCGTGAGCGATCCTGGTGGCTGGGGCCCCCTCCCGCGGTGACCCCGGACCTGCGGGGAGAGACCGAGCCCGGGCACCCCGCGCCCTGGCGTGGCCGACGCTGACCATGGCTTTGGGCGAGACGGAGACTCGCTCCTCTCCCCTTCTCCCGCCCCCCGCCCCCGTTGAATCAGTGGCCACCAGGGAGCTTTTCATTGTCTGGCTGTCCAGCTCTCCTCCCCCTGACGCCTCCTGGGCACGAGAACAGCCCCGTCCTTGCAGATCTTGGTTGCTGGTGGCCACGCTTGTCCTTGCTGCACTTGGAATTAAATGCTGAACCGATCCCATACGTGCAACCAGACCAGGACTAGGAATTTACAAAGGAAATTTTGTATTTCACCTTTCTCCTACTTTGCCCTTTGAATGAGCACTGTGTGTGTGTGTGTGTGTACGTGTGTATGTGTGTACGTGTGTACGTGTGTGTTGGAAAAGATGTCTGTTTCAATGAAACAAATTCAGGAAATGTTCTTATGCATCGACACTGAGAAAGTTTTTGGAATGCTCCTGCTAAGTGTGCTGATGCAACAGTGCGAGGCCAACCCCTTTCTTTGGGGGAACCTTTCTAGAGTGGACTAGAGGACTTTCCCCGGAACCTCTAGGTTCTCCAGGGAGAGTGGTAATGGCATGCCCTGTGTGCTGTAATGTGGACAGAATCTTGTGAGGAAGCATGATTTAGATTTAATGCTAGCAAAAAGAGGCTTCTACTGTGCCCCCAAATGTCTCGAATAAATCATCCATCCCTCGGAGTGGGAGGCACAGGCGTGGGATTGAAAGTATGAATTACAGTTTAACAAATTGAGTTTATAAATTTAACATTGGGAAAGCATGGGCTCAGAAGCCACTCAGAAAAAAAATTGGCATTTTAACCACCTTGTAAGAATATTTTTTCCCCCACTTCTGATTGATATGCATGATAGAATATGAATGGCCAGTGGCTGTTTTTTTTTTTTCTTTAAAAGATGGGAATCCTTTGTTTTCCTTGGTGGTGGGCTCTGGGGATGCTTGAGTGGTAGGCACTGCTGGGGATTGAATTGTGTGGGTTGGCTGTGTGCAAAGCTCACCAGTCTTGTTATGGAACATTTCTGTTATAGACCAAACTGTAAAATAATTTCCTTATTGGGAAATGAAAATGATTTCTGGCACTTTAAAAAGATAGAGTGTTGGTAAATTGTTAGACCTAAGGCCAATTGTGCATTTCCAGTGGGGAAAATAAACTTGCTGGTTAGCTATGAGATCAAGCAAACTGAAATGTTTTGTAAACGCTTAAATAACTTTTCTTGAAAAAGGAGAGTATTTGATATGACATAACACATGCTTAGTCCTCTATGTATGCCCTGACTAGTGCCTTTAACACAGGGATAAAGAGCTTTGTGGTCCTCAGTTGAACCTGCTAATTCCAGCAGAATGGGAGTCTGGGTGACATTGGTCAGATCCTCTTCTGAAAATTCATTTCAAATGCTTCACGTGCCCACACCATATTAGCATTTCTATCACTCATGAGATTCCCTAATTCCTATTTAACAGTTCACTTTGCTCATGAAAACAAATCCCTTTTTTTTTTGGTGGTGGTGGTGGGTGGGTAGGTGGGGGGCTAGCCCACACCCAGGGGTGCTCAGGGCTTACTGCTGGCTCTGTACTCAGGGTTTACTGCTGGTGGGACTTGGGGAACCATATGTGCTGCCCGGGGTCTAACCGGACTCAGCTGCATGCAAGGCAAGTGTTCTACCCACTGTGCTGTTTCTCCAGCCCTCCACCCCCACCCCCAGCTGTGTTTTTTATGAAAAACACACTCTTGGAAGTTACAAGGGCTGTGTACTTGCTTGAAATAAAAAAGATGTAGAACAGATTCCTTGTCTATAACTTGGTCTTTTTTGTCTCTGAAATCGGAGTGCTTAGAAGTCTGTGAGCTTGTGAGGCCAATTCCAGGCTGAGAAAAGGGGTTTTTGAGTGAAGGGGCCAGAGTGATAGTGCGCTGGGTAAGGTGCTTGCCTTGCATGTGGCCCACTGAAGTTCTATCCCCAGCATCCCGTATGGTCCCCAGAGCCTGCCAGGAGTGAGTCCTTAGTGCAGAGCCAGGAGTAACTCTGAGCATTGTGGGATGTGGCTCAAAAACAAACAAGAATTCTTAAGTGAGAAGTCAGGGTACCCCAGCTCAGGAAGCTGGAGGCGGGGACACGTACCTTCTCATTGTTGGGCTCTGTCCATGCTGATTCACCAACTGTAAAAGTAGCCTTAAAAGAAGAGAATTTTGTTTTATGCTAAAGGGAAACCAGAGTTCCAGATTACTAATTTTTTTAAGTTCTCATTAACATTTGTTCTTTAAAAGCATTTATATACTTCTTCCCGTAGGGATAACAAAGGATATGGTTCTAATTAGTTATTGGCTGGCATTTCTCTAAAGAAAATTGAAAAATTATGGCGGGGAAAGAAAATGTTGTGTGGCATTTCTTTTTTTTTCCTTCTTTTATTAATTTTCCCTTTTTATAGTAAGAAAGTTTGGATAACCATATACGTTGAGCCTACATTTTGTCTGGTTCTTCTTTCCTTGATTGGAGCTGGGAGAAAACACACTATGAAAGGATCCCAGGGTCTGGAGAGACAGTACAGAAGGTAGGGCACTTGCCTTGTACCGGCTAATCTGGGTTCAATCCCCAGCACTCTATATGGTCCCCTGAGCTATCACCAGGACTACCCTGAGAATGCTGGTGTGCCCCACGCCCAATCAAAAAAAAAAAAGCAAAGCAAAACAAAAGGATCCCAGCCTCTTTAATAAAAACTTCTTTATGGAAAGTTGCCCTGTTTCTTGCATGTTTTAGCAGTTTTGTTTTGTTTTGGCTCACCCCTGCAGGGTGCTAGGGGACCATGTGGTGCTGGAGATTGAACCTAGGCCTCACACATGCAAAGCATATGCTCGGGTTCTTTGGACCATCTCCTCAACCCTGCAGAAATAACTGAAACTTCATATGTTGACTTCTAAGCACACACATTTAAACAGGCTATTATCGATAATCGTAATTCTCTGATAATAGAATTTCATTGAGAACATTTAGAGTAGTTTTGTCAAGCAACCTGTCACTGTCACTGTCCTCCTGTTGTTCATCGATTTGCTTGAGTGGGTCCAATAACATTGTGAGACTTGTTACTGTTTTTGGCATATCAAATATTTCACGGCTAGCTTGCCAGGCTTTGCTGTGCAGGCGAGATACTCTCGGTAGCTTGCCAGGCTCTCCGAGAGGGGCAGAGGAATCGAACTCGGGTTGGCCGCGTGCAAGGCAAACACCCTACCGCTGTGCTATCGCTCCAGCCCGTCAAGCAACTTGTAATTCTGAAATAAGTTGAGTATGTTTCGGTATCTTTTTTTTTGGATGGGAGTCACATCTGACCATGCCTAGGGCTTATTCCTGGCTTTGTACTCAGGGATCACTCCTGGCAGTGTTTGGGGGATATATGGGGTGCTGGGGATCAAACCTTGGTTAGCCACATGGAAAGCAAACATTTTATCCACTGTGCTATCAACCAAAGGAATGGTTTTTGTTGTTGTTCTTGTTGTTGTGTTGTTATCATTGTTATTTTTGGGCCACACCTGGCTTTACTCCTGGTTCTGCACTCAGTACTCCTGACAGGCTTGGAGACTGTACAAGATGCTAGGAATTGAATCTGGGTTAGCTTTGTACAAGACATGCCCCTACCCACTGTACAATTGCTCTGGCCCCAGGAATGATTCTTATTACCCTGCTATATTACTCTGTCTTTCCTTTTAACATTTTTTTGGCTGTTGTTGTTAAGGCTGCACTGCTTGATGTACGCTTGGTGGTATTTAGGGAACCATGTGTGTCAGGGATCTAATCCAGAGTGTAGGCAAGAGACATACTCTACCACTTGAGTTGCATCTCTGGTGTCCCCTACCCCTCACCTTTTATTTTTGTTTTGGGACCACACCTGGTGTTGCTCAGGGCTTTCTCCTGGGCTATTCTTGACAGTGCTCAGGGGACCATATGTCATGCTAGGGATCGAACTGGGTCTGTAAGTGCAAGGTCGGCATCCCACCCACTGTACTATCTCTCTGGCGGTGTCTCTCCTTTTGGATATGGGTCACACCCAGAGGTAGAGGGCCACTCCCAGCAATGCCTGGGGTCATCCACAGAGTGTTTCTCACCAGGGCTACACCTGGCAGTGCTTGACGACTGTGGGGTCTGAGGAGCAAACCCACCTTTACACTGCAAGACATCTGACCTGCCACTGGAGCTGTCTCCTGGCCCCAATCCTTCCTTGTTACTTATGAAAGGGAAGAAGATGACAGAAAGGCACAACTTTGAAGACAGGGATTTTCTGCTTTCCACATAAGAGGTGTGGACCAGCTGGAACAAACTCTGTTAGTTGGCTGTTTCTGGGGTTTGGATCAGTCTAATAAAAGATAAAAGTCTGGTTAAAGTAGTAGGAACAGTTTTCCTTGAGAGACCTCTTCCTCTCCCCATAATTTGTAGTGCTTCT